TCAGATATTCTATGGATAAGCGAATCACAAGAGACAACAGTAGAAAATTATTTTTTACATAAGAGAGAAAATAATCAGAGAGATCATCTGAAATATTTACTGATGCAAAGATGTATACAGCTCAGCAACCGTTTTCTGTGGGCCGGGAGTAGATGTCGCCAGATAGCAGTCAACTGTGACAACTACAAAAAAAGTGGTCTACGGGTAATAAAATTGATAGTGTATAGGTAATCTATTATAACGAATCGATCAGAAATACTTTCAACCTCTTTGGGGTCTGCAGAGGGTGTGCAGAAAACCTTTTAAGTTTATATTACATTAGATGGTTTGTTGGTGGAATCACAGAAGTTCATAGCGTTTCTGATCTATACTGGTTGCGAACGCCGACAGAAGGGAAGCGTGAGCATTTTGAATTCAGAAGTAGTTTTAGACCTTTTGAGATTTTTGCTCTATTTATATTAGTTTACGAACCTTACACATGAAAACAGAAAAAATTATCCCCTAATACAACAAAGAAAAAAACAGATGTAACAATCAAACAACCACAAAAAAAGAAGAAAGTAAAGAGAAAAGAATAAACACATATATAGACAAACAATATATTTCAAAAACTATAAATCATTACACTCAACACAAAACCATGAAACGAAACGCATAATGCTTCTATAATTAGCCAATAATAAAAAAACACCGACAGAAATACCAACATGATGTTTATAGGGCCATAACCAAGCTCATCATCATCATCATCAGACAACTGCAAGGGCGTCACAGCGTGTGCAGTCGATCACTAGCTTTCTCCACTTTTCGCGATTTTGCGCAGCCTTCTCTATCTCAGCTTCTGTCATCAAATGTGTGCTGCATATCAGTTGGGCGATACTTTTAACGAAGCTCAGTTTTGGTCACCTAGCTTTGGTTTTCCTAGCTGTTGACTTGGTTGGTACAGAGCGTATTTTCGAATTGGCTCTTCTTTGTCGCGTCTGAGCATGTGACCAACCCATGTTAACTGTCTTTTGGCCATTTTGATGGATAATGAGAGCTGATTGACGCGGTTGTACAGCATTTTGTTTGACACATGCTCGATTCGTTTTATGCGTTTATAACCAAGCTCCATACTCATTTGCTGTTATTCCGCATAATACGGCAACATAGAAAGCTCCAGCAGCAGCTAAACACAAAACACATTTATTATTCTGTCGATTCGACACAAACAACGGCGAACGTCGCTTTACGACAAAAGCAGCTTTACTTACACCTTTTAACTCGTTTTTTTGGCTCCATAACCCGATCCGAACCAGTTATCTAAACAATTTGGATCCTTAAGATTTTGGTAAATGGCTGACGAAGAACCTCCGTAGGCTTGAATAACACATCTTTTTCTCTCAAAAACGGAAATAACTTCAGTTTCAAAATGCTTATCCTAAAGTCTCCACACGTTAGAGAGTAGAGATGGTATCGTTTCATTTTTCAGTTACTTACCTGCAAAAGCTATTAAATAACGTTTTACGGCGGCCAATGCACCTTCCGTACGCCTATCGAAAAATAGAAAAGCAAGGGTAAGAAATCGAAGGCAACGGAGTATAATCAGGTTAGTAAAAAAAGACCGAATATTCTCCACTATTACTTCTGCCAACAGCATCCAACTTTCAGCTAATTCGTTCAGCTACCAGCTCTTTATTCTTTAGATCAGAATCATCCAATAGCCGATCCCCATTCTTTTCTTAATATTTCCTGTTTTAAAACTTTCTTTTAACTTGGCTACATACTTTGAATTAATTCCACCCTTCTGATCGCCAATTCCTCTGCTCTCTGTCTGGCAGACTGTGTTCTTGTTTTTTCCCGTTGTAACAATAACTGCAACCTTAATATCTCGACATCCGCCACTTCATGCACCCTTTCATCCGCCCTTTCGTCCACCATTTCATCCGCCATTATTATCTGGAATGGAAAATAAAAAGTAACAATGAAATAATATGTAGAATTTAAAGAGATAAAACGGTGGTTTCGTTTCAAAAACAGTCAAACCCAGTGGACAAATGGAGAGAATATCAAGTAGAGAAGTCAGCAACAGCATTTGAATTTAGTTAATACTTGACTTACTTTAACAACGGTTATTCTACTTTTCTTATTCTATGAATGCTTTGTTTTGTTTACTATGTACAAATAAGAAAAAGGGAATGCATAAAATAGTGGATGTGTTTGTTTTCACCAAGCTTTTGTGAGTTTAATATAACGGATGAAACAAATAGTAACCATCATTCAAGTAACTATAAACTCAAATGTTGCTATTTTGAGCAAACTATGATGAAACACGCACTACATAGTATTAGAAGCTGTTGTATGTCCACATAAACTACAGCTGCGATCAATTCCCTAGAATTAAATGAAACATATTATGGTGAATGAATCTAATTAGCATATTTAAGAGAAGAAAAAGCATCTTTACAATTCCACACGCACTACATAGTATTAGAAAAGCAATAAATAATGTTGTCTTTTGAAAAGCTACACAAACGAACTTTATTTGTTGATTTTTGTTTTAAATCTGGAATGTTATTGAAATCTTTAATGAGAATAAAATTACTGGAGGGCCATATGTAAAAGAATAAGCTACATACTTTTGTCGGTGATCGTGTTTCGGTACGTTGTGGAGAATAATTTCGTACAGGTGACCGACGACCACTAGTTCTAGAGAAAGGCGCATTGTTTCAGCTCAGATCACATTAATAGAGTATAGGACTTTACGTTGTCAATCTTGGACTTAACGTCACTTAGTTTTTCACTTAAGTCGAACTTAAGCCTTTTTATAAAAGTGGCTCCTGTTGCTCAAAACAACTTAAGTGCGACCTGTTTCTCAAAACAACTTAAGTTTTACTTAAGCGGAAAATTTCACCTAAGTAAACAGGAAATTATACTTAAGTTTTCTTGAGAAAGTCACTTACGTAAAAAATTTTACTTAATTGAAGTTTTTCACATAAGTAAAACTCAAGTTTTTTTGAGAAACAGGAGAATGTTTCATAAAAATTCTCAAGAGCTCGACGTAACTAACTAGACTTAAGTCTTCGTTTTGTGCACTCAAGTCTAACTTAAGTCTAGACTTAGTTAAGTCGAGCACTTAAGGCAAAACTTAAGCTTTACTTAAGTGTGACTTAACGTCAACTTAGTTTTTCACTTAAGTCGAACTTAAGCTTTTTTATAGAAGTAACTCCTGGAGCCAGTTTCATAAAAAAACTTAAGTCTGATTTTTGAATTAAGTCAATAATTTTGTCTTATTTCTCATAACTGAACGGCTTTTTTCAATTATAAAGTAAACAAAATGGCAATTACAGCACTTTTAGCCGCAAGAGCACTAAAACGAAAATTTCAAGACAGACAAAATCCCACGGAAATGCAGACTTTATATTTAATAGAAATTGAAACCGTCTAACCAAAAAAACACTGCATTTGGATCTAGGAAAAAGTAGCGTTCGGGTGGCGAAAACTGACAGAAATAGCGGAAACTCGACAAAAGCTGAACAGGCATATGCAGAGTTTTTCCCTTGACTTTAGTCTAGAGTGTTACAAAATGGTGTGTCTGTGCGCAAAATACGGAAAAATGGCTGTCAGACATTCTATGGATAAGCGAATCACAACAGAGAAAAGTAAAAAATAATTTTTTGCACAGGAACACTGTCCCGAAAAAGCACACTTAAATGTGCCAATGGCATGGAAAAAGTGTCCCAAAGTATGCTTTTTATGTGCTGCTGGCATGCTTTTTTATGTGCTGCTAGCATGCTTTTACCGTGCCATTGACACATTTCTAGTGTGCTTTCGGCACACTGCCGTAGCATTTTTGGACGCTTTTTGTGTGCCACTTCTAAAAGTGTATCATCGGCACACTTCAAGTGCGTCATTAGCGCACTTAAAGTGTGCCGATTTTTCCATGCGATTGGCACAATTTAAGTGTGCTTTTTTTAAAAGTATGCTTTTCCGGGACAGTGAAAGAAGATATTCAAAAAGATGAATGAAAAGGTAATTACTGATGCAGAGCGAAAAAAAGTAAGCAAACGTTTGCGAAGTTAGGGGACAGATGTCGCCACAAATCAATCAGTCAATTTTGATAACACAAAAAAGCTACCTACGGATAACAAAACTTACAGGATATAGATACTCTTTTCTATTGTACTCTTCTCTCTTATCAGAAAACCATGTTCCACATGTTTTTTTGAAAAACAAGCCTAATGTTCTCGAGCTAACTTTTTATGCTCTACACGATGCACATATTGAAATCTTCGCAGCTGTGAGGTCATGTAATGGTGGGCGGACCTGAATGGAAGTACCCAGTAAACCATTTTCCACACGTTTTTTCAAAAAAGCATAAGCGGCACCTTTAGATTATTTTTGATGCTCTGCACGCAAAGTGGGCAAATTGAAATTTTCGCGGCTGGTAGTGAATGTAATAGTGGGCGGATCTGTGCGGAAGGACCCACATAGCATGATAAACCTTAATCCTGTGTTTAAGCTTTTTCTCGCCTGCACTCATATTCTGTTTTAGAAAGAAACTTACATTTACTGTTAGCTGAAATGAAAGGATATGAAGAACGGAATAATACCTGTGAGATAATCCTACTGTGTTAGGCATGATCATTACAATTATATGTAGAGGGAACGATCGAAAAAGAAATGATGTAGAGGTTATGTTGTGTATTCTTGTTGGTTCATTATATCAAATAAGAAAAGTTGAGAGTCAAGTTTAATCGGTAAATAACCATATCAGCTGTTAAATTATGATAATAAAATGCATTCGTTGTAGTACTTGAAAACAAGATAGTTTCTATAATATCTTGTAGTTTCTATTAGTGAAAGTAATTGACGATTTATGAAACGTCTTTGAAAGTGTCTCTAGAGGTGATAAATTAGAAGAAATAGTTCATCGATTGATTGTGGGCCGCTTCAGGTTTTTTTTCATTCTTTTTCCTTTTTCATCACATAAAATATGTTTCAGACTACCATTTAAAATAATGAGTGTCCTGGTCAATTCAATTATTTCTTTAACTCATTTACACAACAAACTTCGTTCTCGTCGTTCTCGATTACTTGTATTATGTTCGTCGTTAGGTGTCTTCTACTATCTATTACGTAAATATCGTCGATATTTGATTTTAAAACGACGCCGATATATATCTCCACCAACGACATCGAATAAAGAACAAACCAAGATTATTCCATCGATTAATAAACGATTTTTAGAACAACTACGTGTATTATTAAAAATTCTTTTTCCAAAATTCGCAACTGAATCATCTTTTCTTCTACTATTACACACAATAACATTGCTATCACGAACATTTTTATCAATATTTATTGCTCGATTAGATGGAGCTATTGTCAAAAGTCTTGTACAACGAAATGCAAATGATTTTATTCGAACTTTAGCAATATTTTTGGCTGTTGCAATACCAGCTAGTTTCATTAATAGTTTAATACGATTTGCAGAATCAAAACTAGCATTAGCATTCCGAACAAAACTCACAAAATATGCATACGATTTATACTTTCGAGTGAGTTATAGATCCTATACTGTGATCATACACTATCTTTTTTTATACCGTTTGTTTTCTCTTTCTCATGAAGATTCCTCTACGTCATTTCTTCCCTTCGGAAACTTTCTGTCAAGTTTTTTGATCAAAATCCCTTCAAAATAAAATCTAATAATGTATAATTCCAAGAGAACCGCTAATAGTGGACTTTTTAGGATCAGAGGTACGACTGCACCTACAAAAACTCGTCTAGATATAGATACCAGAGATGTGCGCAGGGCGCTTATTTTCGACCTGTTCTGCCCTGTGCGATCCTGTTCTGTTTAATTCATAAAAAAAATTTCTTCCTGTTCTATGCACACCTCTGATAGATACCGAAGTTATGACTACATTAGAAAATGTCTCATTTTTGAACTTTTTGACTGCCCACCCCTGATAAGTTAACCATGTTCAATACACTCTCTCCTTTAATTAAACTCCTACTTCATGTTCTTAAGCCACTTATTTTCGAGATTTTTCAACTTTAACGCACTTCATAGCTGATAACTATAATTTGGAAGTAACGATAAGTTGACGGCTTAAGAGTGATAAATATGAATTGTTAAAGCTCTAACTACTTCTGAAAAATTTCGCGTTAAAAATGTGAAGAGTTTTTAGAAGTTTCAGTTTTCAAAACGAAGATGAAAAAGAATGTTAAAGGATCTTCAAAAGAACAAAATTTTGACAAAAAACTTAACCATAAACCTTGAAAAGGAATGTAAATAATACCGAATTTAGACATTTTTCTAATCTCATTCGCGCTAACTGTTTAAAAATAAAAAGTAATCTTGAAAGCATGTAGACTTAGAAATTTCTCAAATATAAATAAACATTTAAGTCTAGAAAAATTGTTCGTTATTTATAAATTTGACTTTTGTCAGAGATACGTCTTAAAGCCTCAACTATTCATATTTATCGCTCTCAACTTGTTTTAAGATGAGGTATTTCCAAATTATATTATCCATTTCAAAAAAGAAAGACCATGGCCATTTGTTTAATAACTTTTTCTAGGATGTAGCTACGGAGCTGCGGTTTTCACTAGTCGAAAGAAAAAT